AAAGATTGGATATGTAACAGGTGTCAGGGAGGTGGTGGGAGGTAGGGTATGGTGGGTTTTACCTCTAAAACATCAAATCTGCTCCGCCTGGCAGGCCTGAGGTTTCCCCTGGAGGGCTGAGAGCAGGGGATTAGGAGCGCTTGTTCTCTTTAATTGAAGAAGTTCAGCCTACAAAGCAAAGCTTACTTTCAGTATAACCAAAGGAGAGAATTTAACATTCCCCTACAGGTACATACTGCTGAAAATTACCCAGCAGACAAGGCCCTTTCCAGTTTGCTTTGTCATTTAGGAAAGGAGTTTAAACAAGAGACTCTTCTATGGAAGAAACGAGCTCATGCTGATACAACGATATCTGTGTAAATCTGGTGCTTTTCTGTGGAGATGAGCCTTTAGGCACTTAGCAGGGATTTGCCAAGGAGCCTAAGGCCTGATACATACCCAAAACACAATGAGATTTAGGTGCCTAAATGTGTTAGGCTGGTAGGAAAATCCCAGTCTTTGAAGTTTGCGTAGGCACTAACAAAAACGGGCTAAAAAGTAAAATAAATCTGTCTAATACTACCCTGAAAGCTATGGATGCTCTGAGTTTTACATCTAAAACACAGCAGCAGGAGGTGGCCACCACTGGCAATTGGGAGGTTCCACCAGCATGAGGGTTCAGATCTCCATCCTGACCTCTTCTGCCCCTCCAGAAACTGCAGCCTGGCCCATCCGAACCATTTCTGGCCCCTCTTCTGCTCGCTCATGCCAGCGGGTGTTTGCTTTCACGGGAATTGTCCAGGCCACTTGTCTGAAGACATCTTATGCAGTGAGACCATATGAAGGAAACAGTTAAATGCCTGTTGTTGTTGCTAAGAAGGATCTTAGGACATTAAAAGTTGGAGAAGTCATCTTCATTATTTCTCTTTAAAGTTACTTATGAATTGAGAACAGCTCTGCTCATATTTCTCTTTTATTTGCTGTCTCCCCAGGCTAAAGTGTTGTCTATTTATCTTACAGATTAGGTTACTTTTTATGGGGTTCCTGCTATTATATTTCACCTCTAACTTTGTTAGTTTGTGTTTGATATTAAATTATGTTGAATAAAATGTGCAGCTCAAGGACATTTTTCAGCTTCATCCTGAAATGAGGTTCTTAATCCTGCTTCTGGGTCTGCCCCTGTAGCCCAGCCTATGGGGACTAGTTTGGGGTCTGTAGGACGGGCAGAAGAGAAGTGTTTGTATAAGTGATGGCCTTTGAAGGTGGAGCTGCAGGAGACGTGCCTGTGAAAGCAGTCGGTTCATATACGGTGATTTTGGAGACAACTCTTTAGAAATGGGTTCTAATAATATTGGCATCATCACAAGATAAGATCCAGGACTAGTTAAATCACAGCCTCGCAACTCGGTGCTCCTTTGGGGATTAGAAGAAGTCGCTGAGCTGTCACTCCAAAGCTGATCATGGGCTCGTTTAACTATGTCATCCCATAAGACAGCCCTTTCAATTATGTCAACCTGTCTGCTCTCCCTAGACTCTAATTTTAGAGCAGCAGTAGCTAATATTCTTGGAAAACTGATCCGCCTCCACAGATCTCTCCTCTCTGTCTGCTGCTGTTAACGGAGTATCCTGTGGGGAGATGGGCCTGCTTTACTTCCCCTTCTGTAATAAACCTAATAAAAATAGGTACCATTAGGTTCCTTTGTGTGTGGTCTCTTTAAGACACTTATCTGAGCTATGTAATGGAGATGTCACGTCTCCTCCACAGAGGGATCTGGCAGCACCGCGGGGTCACTGCAATAAAAATAAAATTCAGTTTTAAAAGCCTGGTATGAAATTATGAGCCAAAAACCAGGATGATGGGATGGGAGTTCAGAGACCTGGAAGAGGGAAATGTGAGCTGGAGCCTCCTGGATGTTAATGGAGTCACCAGGCTGCTCCTGGCTTGCTCAAGAGGGCTGTGGGTGACAAGGTGGCCCTGGGGACACCAGGGACAGGGGATTTGTGTGTGTGTGCTGATTGGTGTTGGGAGGAATTTGAGCACACAACAGGAGAAAGGAGGTGGGTGGGCTCAGGATGTTTTAGCCCTGGGCATCTCAGGCTCATCTTAATGCAGCTTGGTGGGAAGGGATGTACATTGCCCCAGAGATGTGATGGAACCCACCAGGACTCCAGCTCTCCCTCCATGCTGAAGATTATACTATATATATCTAATTACTGTTAGCCACATTACACATTACATACATTACATTACACACATTGCCTTAGCCACATTATAGGGACTGCCACAACAGGGGTGACAGGGAAGGTCTTTGAAGACCTCCTCTCTCTCCTCTGGGCACTGTGGTGCTCCTTCAGCCGGGTTGAGCCTCCCTTGGCTGTTGTTCCTCCACACTTGGCCTCCAGCGGGCCTGTAGGACAGTGCTGGGCAGGTCTGAGGCTGCCAGAGGGTTTTCCTTCTTCTGCAGAGCATTCCTGGCCTTCTCCGAAATGGAGCCTTGGGGGCCCTGTTTGAAGGAGCTGACATGCAGAAAGCTGAAGAGCGCGAGCCTCTTCCAAGGTGTTTTATTCCCCCTTTAAGCTGCAGTGTGTGTCTGAATGCAAACCACACACTGAAAAGGAGTAGAAGGGATGGAGGGAAAAAGAGGGAGAGTGTGCAGAGCCAAGGAGTGAGGTGACCCTATCCACCCCACCAAGTGTCATCGCAGCAGCAGTGAAGGCCAGGCCTTCCCTTTCGGGATCAGGCTATATAAAATCCACACGCCGTGGAACAACACCTCCTCCCCAATCACCAGCAAGTTAGTTACACGTAGTGCTCCTTTCACAAATCCACGTTGGCTGCCCATAATCAAATTCTGCTTCTCAAGCAATTTCCCTCGTTAATTCTCCCTGAAGCACTTATAACCAAGCTATCGGCCATGTCGCTGAGCCGGCCAGCCTCTACCCACATGCTGCTCTGTGTGATCCCTTCCTGAGCAGTGCGGCCTTGGGCACGTTCTTCCTGTTCTCAGCAGCCTAACCTTCACGAGCAAACTTCTAAAAATATCACTAAAAACCTCAGCTAATTTTTAATCCTCGTTTCCATTAAGATGGCTGCCTGTGCTGTATGGGTTTCTGGACTCTGGATTTGCAGTCTTCCTTAGGAGTATCTAATCTGTGCAGAGCTGTTTCTGTTGTTATCTGTACGGACTCCTCCTTCCCCACCACAAAACGTGATCCCTTTGGCAGCGGTTCCCCCGGCTGCAGAGCACTGTGAACCCACTGGCAGCACAGACACCTTCCTCTTCCTCCTGCCTAGCTCACCCCGCTGCTTTAGGAGATTACTGGGGTCCCAGTCCTCTCACAGACTCTGACCTCAGTAGGGCATGTGATTTTCTTTGTGCTTCCCCAGTTCTGGAGTATTCTATAACAGCGTAATGGTGCTGACTTATAAAAGTTTAGTGGAGCAAAGGGCTTGAAGTTCCTTGCATGGCTGGACTTCCCGTTGTTGTTTGTATTTGGATATTTTTTCAAGTGCTGTTTACCTAGACAGGGTGTGGAGAGAAGAAACTACATAAAGTCAAGTACAGCACTGCCGATGGCCAGGGAAACTTTTAAAATGGAAAGTTGGAAGATGTGTTTTTGTCATGAGATCAGTGAGGTAGGGCAGCCTTCTGATGGGAATAAGGAGCTAACACTAGGTTTGGTTTGTTCCTGAAGGGAATTACACAAAGTAATCATGTGTTCAAGGAATGCTTGAGTTTAATGACTTGAGGTCTCCTCCTGTCAGGCTCCCACATCTGTGCTCTGCTCCTGTAGCCATGCCAGGCACAGGGACAGGACTCAGCCCCTTGCTCCAGCACTGCCACCTGAGCCACTACCTCACCACAAACCCCACATGTCATGGCGATGTGGAGGACAGATGAGTGGCACACACTGTTCCCGGGCTCTGACAGCACATTTTGGCTGTTTCAATCCATCACCACACACCTTCCTAGAGCCCCTCATCCATCTCCCAGCTCCACTCTGCATCTGAGCTGTGTATACGGGACAGCCACGTGTTCTCTGGGGAGAGCAGAGACGGGACAACATGCCGTCATTTCTCAACCTGGTCACGAGTGTCATTAAGTCAATAGTCCCTCCTCCACCAATGAGGTAAACATTATTACACACAGCCAATGGGTAGGGGAAAGGTCAGCATTTCTAAACCACACCTCAGTCTCCCACTGCCTGTCAGATCAGCTTTCCTTGAAGCGAGGTGACCGTTTCGGAGCAGAGACCAGCTGAGGGACTTGTTATCAGCTGACTCATGCAAACCCCTGCTGCAGCCAATGCTCGTCCACCCAAACCAGTCAGTGTGTGCTGAAATCCTACTGCAGGGTCCTGAGCATCAGCCTGCTAGGACAAAATCACCCCTTCCCCTTGCCAGCACTGAACCCAATCCCAACCCCAACCCCAATCCCAGCCCTAGCTCCAATCTCAATCTCAATCCTGAACCCAACCCTCATCCCTATCCCCATCCCCAATTCCCATCCCTATCCCGTCCCAATCACAACCCTCATCCCCCATCCCTATCCCCAATCTCCATCCCTAATCCCCATCCCTATCCCAAATCCCCATCCCCAATCTCTATTGCCAATGCCCATCCCTAATCCCCATCCCTATCCCCAATCCCCATCCCAACTCTCATCCCTTTCCCCATTGCTAATACCTCTCCCCAATCCTAATCTCTAATCCCCTTCCCTATCCCTAATCCCTATCTCAATCCCAGCTCTCATCCCTATCCCTATCCTCAATCTCATTCCCTATTCCCAATCTCAATCCCCAATCCCAAATCCCCAATCTCAATCCCAATCTCAGCCCAGCCCCTCCCCATCACACCTCCCCATGACTCAGCACACCCCCACCCCCGCCCTCCGATTGGCCGCCCGCCTAGCGCGCGCAGCAACCCGCGCCGGCGGCCCGGGGGTCCCATTGGCTCTCCCCTCCGTGACGTCATCGTCGGGGGCCGGGGCGGGCGGGAGCGTGACTCAGCAGCGGGCGGGGGCTGAGTCAGCAGGGAGGGATAAAGGCGGCGGGGCCGGCGGCGGGTGGGCGGCCATGGAGCTGCCGGGGCTGGGGCGGCACTGCGCGGAGACAGCCTGCAGGAGGCTGGGTGAGACGCGGGGGGGTTGGTTCGTATTGGGGTACGCTGGTTAGTACCAGATATTAGGGCTTTAACACCTCCGAAATTCATCCCGTGGAAGAGCGGTAGTTAAGGCTGTAGCATTTCGTGCTGGGGTGTTGTTGGTAAGCCTGAGGAGCTTTTGTGTTTGAAGGGAAAAGTCTTTTGAGACAGGATTGTGGTTTTGTTCTTCGACCCCAAGCTTCTGGCTGATGCCTTTTGAAAAGGTTGTGTTCTAGGAGCTCCTGGGGTATTGGTGGTTTGTGTTAGCCTAGCACGGGGGGGGGGGGGAAGTTCTCAATCTTAACTTTTGTCTTTGTGCTTATGAAAAGTAGCATGCTCTTCCTAGGGTAACCTGGGTTGTGACTATACCAAAATGATGATTTGCTTTAGGATTTATTTGTCTTCAGTAAGCGTGCTGTAAAGCTGTTAGCTCTGCTGTATACAAATCTGTTTTCTCTTTTCATTCCTTACCCAGACTTCCTTCCTCTGAAATGTGATGCGTGTGGGGAGGTCTTCTGCAAAGACCATATCCGTTATGATGACCACAAGTGTGGCTCTGCCTACAAAAAAGTAAGTTCCTGTACATGAGTCAGTAATTGACACTGCAGAATTGCCAAGTCATGCAGCAAGGCTGCTCTGAAACTTGACCTGTGGTTTCAATAAAAACAGGTGGGAGAACCACAAGATAAGCTACTGATAGAGCTGAACTTCAGCTGCAATGGGACAACACTTGCGAGTTTACTACTGCTGGATTCTAGTCTCTTTCACTTATTCTGCCCCTTCCCACAGAGAGGTGCCTTATACTTTAATGTAGTGTTGCCCAAAACTTTCTACAGCCCATATTCTTTTGAGCTGCAAGACAGGATAACTACAGGATAAATAGGAAAAGTGGGGCTGAATATTAATTTCTAGCTCATACTTGGGCTGTGTAGTGTTCAAGACTACATTTTCAGGAAGCCTAGAATCACATTTAAAGTGAATTTATTTAATATGTTGGTACAAGCTTACTTGGCATATCACTTCTGGCTTTTTGGTTACAAATCTGCAGTTACCTTCTTGAAGGACATCTTTAAGAGCATTAGTAAATGTGTGGAACATAAAGCACTTATAAATATACCATCATTAGACATCCTTAAGAAAAGGAGAAGGACAGAACAATAATCAGGTCAGACTTCTGATCTGTGTGGTGTGTTCTTAGAATGTGCAGGTTCCAGTGTGTCCACTCTGTAATGCACCCATCCCAGTACAGAAGGGGGAAATACCAGATGTTGTGGTTGGAGCCCACATGGATAAGGACTGCAAATACAATCCAGCACAGCAAAAGGAGAAGGTGAGAAAACTGTTGTTGAAATCTAAGCTACTTGCCTAATTCTTGTGAAGCTTGGTTTTCTGACAGCACAATGTGTAGAAGCTTATTCTGTTTCTTTTTTTGTTCTAAGAGCACTTGAGCATTCATGCTTCAGCCTGGTTGCTACTTGGAAGCTGATCTCAGAAAGCAACCAACTATTGCTAATGTAGTTTTCTCTGTTATCTAGATCTTCACAAACAAATGCTTAAAGCCAGGCTGCAAAAGAAAAGAGATGATGAAGGTAGTTTGTGAACAGTGCAATGGGAACTTCTGCATAAAGCATCGGCATCCTCTGGACCATGACTGTAAAGGGAGCAGCCACCCCATCTCCAAGGCTGGGTAAGCTGTAGCTGTGGTACTTTGAGATTAAGCTGAAGCTTCAGGGCTTGGTGGGAAGCTCAGACAAATAAGAAATTCTGTAGACTACTGGTCACTTCAATAAAAAAGCTCCTGAATCTTGGACTGAACTTCTGAAAGCCTGAGCCAAAGAGGGGAAAAAAAGATTCTTGTCAAATGCTTTCCTAAAATTCTTCCAACCTTACCTAATTTGATAGCATGCTCTTTGAAAATAAAAAAAAAAAAGCCCGAGAACAGGTGCTTTCCAACTCAAGTACCTTCTAAATGTCTTGATCTAAATACTAGAGCCCTACTTAGAGCCTTGAATTAACCAAGAATAAACTGTGGCAAGGTATTGATTTTAAGCTTAACTTTAATAAAACATCTCTTGCAGGCAGACATACCTTCCTTGCTCTGTGCAGTAGGAATGTAAGACTTGTGCCAGATGTGGATAATTAAACTGGATGGAAGAGTGAGACTACTGGAAGCATGCTTAAGTGGTGCTTAGCCTGGTTATATTTCTTTGTAGGTACGCAGCTCTGATGAGAGCATCTCAAACTGCCTTCAAGTCAACAGAAGCAATTGCAGTGCCATCTAATGGGAACCGTCAGCACAACAGGTATAAGCTGTGGAACAAGATGAGATGGTTTAAAATAGTCTTATGTCAACACAGCATGGTAGTGCTGCTGTCATACATCTAACTGCTCTAGGCTTTGTAGTTGACCTTTGATCAGTGTTGGGAATATAGCAGAGAGCTTTCTGACAGCACAAGCGAATCTTTATTTCTCCACACTGTGAGGATTAAAATGGCTATGTAGACACAAGCATTAGGGCATTAAGTTGTTTGTTGTACCAGCAGGTTGGTCTCCCACCTGCCCAGAACGAGGCCTTTGGTCAAGTTTTGGAGGACTGGTACTTCAGTGTAATGCTGAGAAAGCATAGCAAATCTCTGAATGACCCAAGTCCTTCCCAGCCATGGTTTGAATGACTCCCTTTGACTGCAAGTTGTAATTGAATGACTCTTACGGTTTACTCTTCTGTCTTTCAGATGCAGATGATAGAAGCTCTTCACACTGGATCAAGCATCTGCCTACTTCAGTTAATCTTGTCTGAAGCTCTTTAAACTTTTTCTATGCAAGTAACTTATTTTTGTGTATAATCTCTTACGGATTTAATAAACTGTCACCCTTTCTAAGCCAACTTTGTTTATATATTTAGAATAAGAGCTGTAATACAATCATAGAATCACTAAGGTTGGAAAAGACCTTCAAGATGATCTGGTCCAACTATCACCCTACTATGAAAAACACTTGGAGACTGGGGGGTGGTTTTAGAAAAACTAAAATTAGGGTGAAACTGCTTGTTTTGCTTAGGTTGTGCAAGGCTAAACTGAGTCTCATAAGGTGAAAGACTGAAATACATATGAATGTCATAGCTCTCAATCCTTTTGGAAATGATCTGGCACAATGCTGCATTGTGCTTGACAACAACATATCAATGTGAAGTCAGTTTTCTATGGTGTCTCTTGGTTTCTGAATGTTGTTGGAAGTACTGATTTATAAAGCCATACCCTGTCCTTCTAGGCCCTCCCTAAGCAATTCACTGTAGGGATTTCACTGTAGGGATAGTGCTCACAGGGGCACGCACAGCGTAATTCTTCATAATTTATTGCCCCCAAGGTAGAAATCTAGACTTGTATTGGTATTTTCTCGCAGTTGGGGCAAAAAGGAAAACAGAAGCTATTAGCTGTTCCTTGTCCCACATAATAAGGCCAAAATACAGCACTGTCAAAGGAGCCTACTCTTGCTCCCTTCCTGAAAGGCTTAAACAACACATTTTTGTTAGGTCTGTTGTCTTCACCAGCAATTTTACCTGAAGGCTCAGCTCTTTGAACTGCATGAACATCCAGCTGCTTAGTTTGGGGCCCAAAGTACCGTAGCTTGAGGAAATAGAAGTGTGCTGTTAATGAACAATGCTAATTCCCCAGCTGTGATCTAAGTAGACCTCTCATCCAACTAATTGTGAGAAAAATGCCAAAGCTTACTGATGATGTCAGGGGGCCAAGACCTCAATTTCATGTGTCATTGGAACCATTCCTCTGCATGCTGGGGCTGGTAGGCTGGAGTATTGGTTTAGGACTAATGGATGGGTAATTGCAGTCTATTGAATCACCTGCAGTTGAGTTCCCAACCCCATTTTCTTGAGGTGGGAGGAATAGCAGTTTGTGTAGCTGAGAATGCTGTGTTCCTTGACCTGCCTGGAAAAAATAATCTTTGATAATACCGCAAGAGATGTGAGCAAGATTGCAGTTAACGCGTGTGGTTTATACAACCTCGGGGCTTACTGCAATTGTGCAAATGGTGTGTGCTTCTTATCTCTATTTGAAGAGGCTTAATTCTTAGGTTACAAATGCTCCCTGAAGAAATGCAGATTTATGGTCCCTTACAGGAATAACACAAATGGCCAGCATATTGACTTGTAGGTCTTTTATCAGAAAGGGGAAAGATAATAAAATTTCTAGCAAATGCAGAACAAAAAAATGTGCACTAATTGTCTAATGTGATTTTTTTTTCTCATCCACTGACATGTTTTTTGGAGAATGGTTAAAGCTATGTGGAAGGTCATAGCTGGCCAAAATGAATGTCTAAAGCTGTCAGGTACAAATCACAGCTGCTAGTTCTATTTAACCTTGTTTTATGCAATCCTGTGGTCTAAATAGTGATTTGGTAGTATTTGTAATACTGTGTTTAACCACAGGGTGTCACAATAGGATGTGTAATAAAACAATTGTTATTCTAGGTACTGTAAATAGAAAACATGCTTTCCCCATTCACATTGTAACAAAAGCCTAAATTATGGCTCTAATTTTAGATACCACCACCTAGTGATTATCTTGTGTGCTCTAGTCCTGTAACTCATCCCTAAGACAGCACTAGTTATGGGACTTCTATAATTTTTCTGTATAATATACAACTGGACATGTTTCCAAACTCTGCTGCATACCCTGCTGTGGGAAGAGTTTGCAGGGGGAGCAGCAGCGGGTCCTGACAGTACTGCGATGGGTACCCCATAGTGTGGGGAGCAGGTAGGTGGAAGCAGCAATGGTTGTGACCCCAGTCTGGTCAGGAGAAAGAGGTATAAAGGTTTACCTCTTCACGTGGGTATGTGTAATATATTGAGTTACTGCTGCCACAACCGGCACCTCAGCTACTGGGGTCAAAGCAGTTGGAAGCTGAAAACCCTGTGTCAGGCTGTCACTTAAAAATGCTCCAGTGACTCATTTGTTTTCAGTAAATATTCCTGCCTTTAAATCACTGGGGAGATGTTTGTGCACAAGGTAAGTATTTATAGCAAATGGAAGCCGGTACATTTCCAGGAACCCGTGTGCTTGGCGCTGTTTGTAACCCACCCACACCTGCCTGCTCCCTGCCCTCAGAGCCCCACAGGGCTGCTCCAGGTGCAGAGCGCTTATGATCTGCTGACTGAAGTGGGTGGTACTGGTCCCTGGGGAGCCGAAAGCCCCTGTGCTAGCCCACGAGGGGGTGGCAGCGCTGGGTTGTGTGGGGACACCGGGGGTGGTAGGGCCGGGGCGGGAGGGCTGCGCGGGGCCTGCAGGCCTCGGTGGGCCCCGGGCCCGGCGGCCGTCACCCTGGCAACGGTCACCATGGCAACGGTGGGCGGGGCGAGCGCTGAGGCCTCGGCGCGCGGAGCTGACGTCACACAAAAAAAGCCGGCCGGGCCCGCCCTCAGCACGCTCCCTCCGAGCGGGCGCTCAACACCACACCTCGCCTTCCTATTGGCTAGCTAAGGGATTGGCAGCTTCTAGCGCCAACCGGACGCGCCCGCTGCCTTTGCTACGGCCAATAGCAGGGAGGGGGCGGGCTGCGGCGGGGAGCGTGAGTGTGAGGTGCGTGAGGGGGCCGCGTGCACCCCGCTCGCGCGTGGCCGCTGGGGGGCGGCCGGGCCGGGGGGGGCCGAGGGGGAGCCGTTGGGATCTTTTGGGATCCGTTGGGATCTCCACGCCCTCGTGCCGGTGTAAAAGGCAGAGTAACGGCCGCCGGCAGGCAGAGCCGGGGCCGCGTGGCCTGTGCCGGCTTCGGGAGCGGGCGGCCCCGAGGCTGGGGGGTCCCGGGGGGGAGCGCAACCGGAGCGAGATCCTGAGGAGAACGGGGAAAGTCAGCCGGACTGGTCCAGGTTCGGTGCCAGCAGTGTTTTCAGTTAGGCAGTCAGATGTACCTCTTGAGATGCTGTGGTTATAGGGTGGCCTGTCAGTATATGCTTCTCTGGCATTTATGATAAATTAAAGTTATTTAAAATAAATAAAAGGATTCTAATTGCACTTTTCTAGTGGCATTTAAAATAATCAATTAAATAAAAAGGGTTCTAATTGCACTCTGGCAGCTTCTAATTGCATAGCGTTCTGTTCCAGAATGGCAAAAAAGAACACGCAAAGCAAAGAAATGAAGGAGGAAAAAAGGAAAAAGCTAAAGCAGCGCGCGGCCCCCAAGGGAGAGCTGGAGTCAGAAAGTGAGCCAAAGAAAATGAAAGAGAGCCTGCAGGTAGGTCATCCCGGCTTCAGCTGTTTAATTCAATAAAACAGTTACCTGTGCCGCTACCTGTGGCGTTCAGCACCGACCCTGAACGTACCACTGAGATTCCGTGCAGTGATTCCTCGGATATGATCTACCTAGAGTGAAAATGAAAAGATAAACTCAGTCAAAATCTTGAGGTCTGTGTGATTTCTGAGTGTGGTTGTAGCACTCAGAGTACACGGTCTCTGTTCTGAATGGTTCTGTGAAAGGCAGAGGCTGGGTGGGAGCATGTGAGTGAAAGGGAAACCAAATGCCTTTAAGCAACTGTCATATGGGAGTATAGGCGTAGCCTAAGTCTTCATGTGATTCTGAGGGGTTGGAAGCACATGAAAGATTTCATGGAAATCCTGTTGATTTTTGGTCAGAATGTCAAGTGGCCAGAAGGTGTCAGCAGTCTCTGTATTACGGAATATTTGATAAATTAATGAGAATGAAATTAATGATATTGAGATACTGTTTAAGTGGAAACTTAAAAGTAAAAGCCTTTTTTTCCCTGAAGAAAACAATACAAAAGCAGGGCAACGTACCTGTGGTCTTCTGAGTAAGTTAATGCAAAACATGGATCAAAGCATCAAGTGTTTGGATAATATAGAGAACTGGAGCGTGAAAGGCAAAACTATTTTCCTTAGGAACTGTAAGAGTGACTTTAAGTCATGGTCTTAAAAGCATTCCTTATTTACTAACCTAACATAAAATAAATGTAAAAGGTACGTATTACTCATTTATCATGAGATGCATAGTTCAGTGAAGATCGTAGCTAAGAAGTAGTACTTCTTATTTTACTGTTACACTTTATTGAAGTTTATTGGTAAGAATACTTGATTTTTTTTCTGAGAGCTTTTGTGTTCATGTAAAAGTGTCTCTAGCTATTACATTTGGAGTTTGTGAGACAGTGTAAGAAAAGCAGACGTATTGGCAGTGGCTATTTGGAGTCTATAAATTCTTGCTGTTTAGATCTCAGCAGAAAGGTGCTTAATTAAATCGGGGAAGAGTACATCTTTGTCTACATCAAAGCAAAAATGGAAATTCTTGTATTTATAGCTTAGTAAGAGGGAATGCTTATTTCCTTTGTTGGTTCTATATTATAGACTTAGATCCACAGAAATATAATTCAATTTGTGTGGAAATAATTTTCCAGGATAAAACAGTGTGAAATTGAAATGCCAAAATTAAAATTTTATTGCCCGTGAAGTTCTGAAGCATTTTATGTACAAGTGGAAAAAAATCCCAAGAGGACTTCAAACCCCTGGCAAGCAGGGCCTTTTTGGACCATCTGATTAATATCAACTGGTAAGATCTTAGAACCCCCAAATTGGTTCTCCTTCATCACACAGACTGTAGGACTGTGGAAGAAAGAGCAAATACTAAGTGGAAAGCAGGCTCCTTAATACTACTAGGGAACACCACTAGGCACAACAGCTCTTCTAACTATAAATGTTGGTGTCAGTGGGTGGCTTAAACATGTATCTGGTGTTAGTTTTAGGGAATACCATATAAGGTCTATGAGAAGCCATTTTTTGGCATCAGCTTTATAAACTGTGACTGTTGATAGTAGGAAAGTGTAAGTTAGTAGACCTCGTTTTGTTTGAAATGGCTGTAGGGGATGAAAAATGTTAAGCAGATTTTAAGCTATTTTACTTCAGGAATAGTTAATAAATGTCAGCTGTTTACTGGTTTATGATTATTACTCAGCATGTGTACCCTCAGCTTTGTGTGAAATAGTTAAGTCATAGTGGCATTGGGTTTTAAAATGCTTTTGATGATAGTACAGTGTGGAAAATGTAGTGGGAAAAAAGGTAAAATTCCTTTACATATACGGGAAGACCAGAAGGAACTCTGAAGCTGCAGAAAAAAGCGCTCAGTTGGCTTGGATGGAGCAAAGATTCAGGCAACTGCTGAGAGTGTTTGTTCTGCAGTCTAATTTTCTTTATATTTTTTGTTACTTTAAGCTGAAATTTTGTTAGAGCTACAGAAATTCTTGAAGGATGACAACTGGTTTCTGATAAGCTGTGGCTGACTTTTAATGCACTGATTTAAAGCCAATTTTTTGGCCTTTAGGCACAAATGGGTAGGTTCCAGTTTCTGTTAGTCTCCTATGTGATGGAAATAAGTCAAAAGATAGCAGCATAGCACACTGCTTTTGGTGGCCAGGAGTTTTCAGTGGTTCCTTAAATCACTTCACTTCCCTGTGGTTTACTTCTTTCCTATTTTACTGCAGCACTTTCAGTCTCCAAAGTGGAAAACGTAAATCTCTAATTGATTTTGTTAGAGCTGCAGGCAGGCACGTTGAAATGTGTCTTAAGTGACTGAATTTAGTATACATTGATCATTCTTTTATGGAATTTATTTCAAAAATTCTCACCAGCCTAAGATTAAAGCGTTTTTCCTTGGAACAACTTGACCTTTCTGAGTAATCTTGATGTTTTATTGATTTTCATCTACTCGATTTCTATTGTTTACATTAAATAACAAAGAGCAATTCAAGTCCAATAAAAATGTTTTCATGAATGATCTTAGAACCACACAGCTCTAGTAAAGCCGAACGATACAAATTTTTAAACTTAAATCAGCCTTGTGTTTTTATTTGACAGATCTCCCTAATGTTACTGCTTTATTTAGTTACTTGGCAATAAAACCCACATTTTTAACATTGCTTTTTAAAATGCCTGGACATTAGTTTTACTAGTTTTTAAATGATTTTATAGTTTACTAACGTACTCACATGTCAAACCTTACTATAGTTGGAGATTATTCTTTTGAATTATCACATACTATAGGCATTAAAATAAGAGATTGAAAATGTGCTGTCTAGACTGGTGGTCTGAAGTTAAATACTGGCTTTTTAAGTAAGAACTTGCTGGTGGACCTTGTCTGTGACAAATTAATTTTGTTTCAGTTCTCTGAAAAGAATATTTACAATATTGTTAACTGTCATGTTGAAATAACAAAGGCATTAGAAGTGCTTGTTTGCAATTACTCGTGTCTTGCTTCTGTTTATGGATTTCTTCACCCTTCAAAGTTTAAGCTGCCTTAGTGCCACAAAAGCTTATCGAAACAGTGTACCGACACTTCCAACAGTGTCGGCAAGGAACAACATGTTATGGTTGCTTTGTTCACAAAGGCTATTTGAGTTCTACTGAGAATGACCTTACTGTACCAAAACATCTTTTAACCTCATAATTTAACAGTAGATCTTGTTTCTCCAGTGTTGTTTTCAGAGCTGCAAGCTTTCCACAGAACAGTAAAATTCTTGCAGAGTTGATCATCTATTAAAGCAAGAGAGACTCAAATTTGCTAATCCATAGAAAACAATATTCATTTCCTCTTCCTTCCCAATTTAGTCTAGCAAACATTGTAACTTCAAGGAAAATTGAGTAAGAGCCAGTCAGTCTTTATAAATCAAATCCCATTGTTCATGGTTGACGGGTATTTTAGATAATGCTAATAGAGTATGAGTCTTTGCCTGTTTCTTGTTATCATCAGCATTGCAAATGGTTGGAGGAGGAGGAATCAACATTTTCCCCAGATGAAGGCAAAATCAGTGGGAAAGGAATTTAATTTTTGAGATTCCATACAGATAGTACAAACAATGGCAAATAAACAAGTAGCTCATAGTGTTTCTTTAATCAGAGGGCTAGTGTGCAGGTGCCCAAACAGTAAGCTGTATTTACCTAGATGGGAAATGGCAAAATTACTAGGGAAAGTGTTTCTCTGTTCCTTTTGGGGATTATTATAAAGACAAATAAGGAGTTATTAAACTAGTACTAGAGCAAAGCAAGCTACAAAGAATGATTCTTTAAAATTGTTTTGCTTGTAGTAGTGGAAAACCCCATAAAAATCATGCTGTTTATGCCATGGAGATAAAACATTTTGTCATGAGCTTGGTGAAATAGTTAAGAGTGCTACTTTGACGTGATCTCTAATGCTGCTTGTAATCAGGTAACTGTTTAGTAGTTTGAATGTTTAATGAATGCAAACCACGCATTCATGGTACAAGACCGATCACAGATACTGGGAAAAAGCTGTAACTGGGAAATACATTTATTTATTTGAAAACCCACTAATTCATACTGAAGTCTGTTTTGGAAATAATGGGTTGTGGATGATTTGCAAACAAACTCTAAGTCCTGTCTTTTTACATTTATTTTAATAGGAAACTGATCATGTAACCATCAAAATAACTTGTCTTGTTTTTTCCATCCTAAACAATGTTGGGAAGTTAACACTTAGCGTGATGTTGCAGGATGTTCTTCTGATTAGCTGGCTACCAGTATTTGCTATATCTTCACTTCTATACATTAAAATTTCTTTTTGGAAACTGTGTTGTGAATTGACCATCAGCTCTTTCTGCATTTGTATAGTTTTGCTTTACTATGTTGTATTTACTTTTGTTTAAGAAATATGTAGAAAACCAATCTGATATATTGAAAATAAATTACTAAAAGCTTCATTTTGTTTAGCATAATCCTCCTAGAATAAGAATCTTGACTTGTACTGTTCTTGGCTGTTTTGCTTGTATCTCTAACATGCAAATAGAGTTTTATCCACATTATGAAGAGAAGATGACACAATCTTTCATCCTTGCCCTATCTTTCATCTGCCCCCCTCCCCCTTTGATCTAGGGATACATCAGCAGTTAGCATTTTGCTGGAACGGATACCTCTGGTAAATTAATGTCTCTTCTTTCTCAGAATGGTGAAGTTAAATGTCAGTATGGATATTAGATCACTTCTGTTAGTCTTCTGGGTTTGGTCAGTCTGTAATTGAAATGTTGGGCCTATTTCTCCTCTTTGGGCTACTTGCAGTTGATTTTTCTATTCTTTATTTTTCTTCCACAAAGAGCTTAGTTTGCTGGCCCATTGGCTTCTGATTGCCTCTCTGCGGGATGGCGTCTTGATAGCTGAAAAAATTACGAAGCCATAAACCCACTTGGCATTTATGACTTGCTGTGTGGGATCTCACTCTGT